AGTGAAGCAAAAATGGACAGAATTGAAGGGAGAAGTAGACAGTTCTACCCTAACAGCTGAAGACTTCAACACCCCTCCTTAATAATGCACAGAACACCGAGACAGAAGACCAGTAAGGTGACAGAGGACGCGAGCAGCACTGCAAACCAACCAGAGCCAGCAGACAGACACAGAGCACGCCACCCGACAGCAGCAGTGCACACTCTTCCTAAGTGCACACGGGATGCTCTCCAGGACAGCCCATTTGTCAGGCCACAAAACACACCTCAAAAATGTTAAAATCAGGTAAAGTATCTCCTCCGACCACAATGGAATGAAACCAGAATTCAATAACAGAAGGAAAACTGGAAAGTTCACAAATAAGTGAAAATTAAACCACCAATGAGTCAAAGAAGAAATCATAAGGGAAATTAGAATATTCTTACAGATAAATGAAAATGAAAACACAACATATCAAAACTTATGGGATGCAGCAAGAGCAGTGCTCAGAGGGAAATTTACAGTTATACATGCCTACATAGAACAGATCTCAAGTCCATAACCCAACTTTACACCTTAAGGAGCCAGAAAAAGGAGAGCAGACTAAAACACACAGCTAGCAGAAGGAAGGAAACAATAAAGATCCGAGCAGAGATAAATGAAACAGAGTGTAAAAAACAACAGAGAGAATCAAAACAAAAGCTGGTTCTTCGAAAAGATCAACAAAATTGACAAACCTTTAACTAGACTAAGAAAAAAGAGAAGGCTCAAATTGCCAAAATAAAAAATGAAAGTGGGTACATCACTACCAACCTTAACAGAAGCTTAAAAGGATTATAAGAAAATATTATGAACAATTGTATGCCAACAAATTAGATAACTTAGATGAAATGGACGAATTTCTAGAAACACACAAACTACCAAAACTGACTCAAGAAGAAATAACGAATCTGAACAAATAAAGAGACTGAATCAGGAATCAAAACGTCCCAACAAAGAAAAGATCAGAGGGCTTCCCCCATGAGCTCCACCAAACACTTAGAGAAGTAACACCAATGCCTCCCAAACTCTTCCAAAAAACTCAAGAAGAGGAAACACTCAACTCACTCTACGAGGCCAGCATTACTCTGATACCATAGCCAGACAAGGACATCACAGAAAGAAAACTACACGCCAATACCCCTTATGAATACGTGCGCAGAAATCCTCAATAAAATACTAGCAAACTGATCCAGGAGCATTTTAGAAAGATTATACACCATGACCAAGTGCGATTTATCCCAGTAACGCAAGGGCGTTTCAACATACGAAATCAATCAACATAATACACCATCTTAATATATTTGAAGGGAAAAAAACGACATGACAATCTCAACTGATGCAGAAGAAAGACTGGACAGAATCCAACACCCTTTCACGATAAAGAAAAACACACCCAACAAACTAGGAATAGAAGGGAACTCCCTCGGCTCACAGCCAGCACCACGCTCGGCAGGGGCACACTGAAAGCTCCCGGGGTCAGAACAAGGCCGGGGGCCTCCTTCCCACCTCTGCTCCATGCTGTCCTGGGAGTTCCAGCAGGGCAGTCAGGCAAGAAAAGCAAGAACGCATCCGAACGAGAAAGGAAAAAGGAAAACTGTCTCTAGTCGCAGATTACGTGATCTTAAATACAAAAAACTTACCAAAAAACTACGAGAGCTAACAAGCAAGTTCTACAAAGTTGTAGGATACAAGATCAAGCTCCCAGAAAAATCAGCTGTTTTTCTGTACACTAGCAATGAACAATCTGAAAAGGAAATTAAGGACACAATTCCATTCACAATACTATAAAAAAGAAGAAAACACTTAGGAGTTAATTTAACCAAAGAGGCAAAACACTTGTAAACTGAAAAGTATAAAACATTGATGAAAGAAATTAAAGAAGATCTAATTCAATGGAAAGACATTCTGTGTTCATGGACTGGAAGATTTAATATTGTTAAAGGAATAGACTCCCCAAAGAGATCTACAAATTCAAAGCAATCTCTATCAAAATTCCAATGGTTTTTCTGCAGAAATGGAAAAAATGATCCTAAAATTCATATGAAATTGAAAAGGATCCCAAATTGCCAAAACAATATTGAAAAAGAAAAACAAAGTTGGAAGACTCATGCTTCCCAATTTCAAAACTTACCACAAAGCTACAGTGATCAAAGCACTGTGGTACTGGCATAAGAATAGAGTCCAGAAATGAACCCGTACATTTATGGTCAGTTGATTTTCAACAAGGATACCAGAACTTTCAGTGGAGAAAGAACAGTCTCTTAAACAAATGGTACTGGGACAACTGAATACCCACATACAACAGAATGAGTTTGGACTCTTACATCACACCATACACAAAAAATAACTTAAAGTGGATCAAAGATCTAAATATAAGAACACAAACTATAAAACTCTTGGAAGAAAACACAGGAGTAAGTCTTCATGACCTTGATTTGGCAATGGTTTCTTAGATATGACACCAAAAGCACATGCAACAAAAGAAAAAATAAATTGGATTTCATCAAAATTACAATTTTTATGCATCAAAGAATACTCTCGAGAGTGAAAAAACCCACAGAATGGGAGAAGATATTTGCAAATCATATATCTGATCAGAACCTAGTATCGAGAATACATAAAGAACTCTTACAACTCAAAAACAAAAAGACAACCTAATTTAAAAATGGTCAAAAGTCTTGAATAGTCATTTCTCCAAAGATGATGTACAAATGGCCAATAAACCACGAAAAGAGGCTCAATACCATTAGTCAGTAGTGAAATGCAAATCCAAACTGGAGTGAAATGGTGAGACACCATGTCATACTCACTAGGATGGCTATAAAAAAAAAAGATAAGAATTGTTGGTGAGGATGTGAAGAAATTGGAACCTCATGCACTGGGAATGTAAAATGGCGCAGCTGCTGTGGAAAAGTCTGGCAGTTCACTCTCCATAGTGAAACAGAGTTACAATATGACCTAGAATTCGACTCCAAGGTATATACCCAAAGAAACTGAAAACCAGTGTTCAAACAAACATTTGTACACAAATGTTCATACTAGCACCATTCACAACAGCCAAAAGGTGGAACAACCCGAATGTCCATCAACTGATGAATGGATAAACAAAATATGGTATATCTACACAAACGGTCTCTCTCTCACAAAAAAGAATGAAGTACTGATATATGCTACACCACGAACTTTAAATGCTAAATGAAAGAAGCTACTCACAAAAGAGCACATAGTATATGATTCCATTTATATGAAATGTTCACAACAGGCAAATCTACAGACAGAAAGAGAATTAGTGGTCGTGTAGGGCTGGGGGGAACAGGGTATGGAGGGGGATATCTAAGATACAAGGTTCCTTTTTGAGGTGAAAAAATGTTCCGAAATTGACTGTGGTGGTTGTACACATCTGTGAATATACTAAAAACCTGACTGTATACTTTGATGGGGGAATTGTATGGTATGTGAATTATATCTCAATAAAGCTGTTATAAAAAAAATAACGATTAATCCAAAAGAAGGCAGAAAAGGAGGAAAATGGAATAAAGAACAGATGTGACTAATATAAAACTAATTGCAAGAAGACAGACTCAAATCCACCATATCAATAATCACATTAAATACGACTAGTGTAAACATCATAATTAAAAGGCAGAGACTGTCAGATTGGATAAAACTGCGAGATCCATACGCTGTCTACAAGAATCCACGAGGGAGAGGGTACCCTTTAAATATAAAGACACAAATTGGTTAAAAGTGAAAAAGATATACTACGCTAGCACTAGTCAAAATAAAGCCAGAGCAGTTATAGCAAACAAACTCGATTTCAGAGCAGAGAATATTACCAGAGATCAAGAGGTTTATTTCATAATGATGAAGGGGTCAATTCTTCACAATCCTAAATATTAACAATTTCAAAATACATGAAGCCAAAATGGATAGAACTGCAGCAAGGAATGGCCAAATCTACAATTAGAGTCAGAGATTTCACTCTCTCTCTCAATAACTGATAGAGCAAGTCGACCCAAACAGTTCAAGTCTGCTGTATCCTCACTGATACAAGAATGCCCCCAACTCAGCCTGACTCACATTTACAGAAAACTCCACACAACACCAGCAGATACACAACCTTCCTGAGTGCACATGGAACATCTGCCAAAATAGGCCACGTCCCGAGCCACAAATCTTACCAAATTTAAAAGACTGAAGCCAAACAAAGTATGTTCTCTTATTACAGAGGAATTAAGTTAGAAATTGACAACAGAAAAATATCTGGAAAATCCCTCAAATGTTTGGAAACTAAATAACTCATAAATTAAAAACTCATAAACTAAAAAACTTTAAATAACTCATAAGTCCAACAAGAAACCAAAAAGAAAATCAGAAGGTATTTTGACACTCAATGAAAATGGACACAACATATGAGAATTTTCAGGATGTTGCTAAAGTGACAGAGGGAAATCTGTATCACTAAATGCCTATATTAGAAAAGAAAAAAGGCCTCAAACCAATGACCTCAGTTTCCACCTTAAGAATTATGAAAAGAACAAATTAAACCCAAAGTAAGCAGAAGAAAGAAAATAATAAAGATCAGAGTGCAAACAGAAAACAGACAAAATAGAAAAAAGAAAAACTATAGAAAAATCAATGAAACCAAAAGCTGGTTCTTTAAGAAGATTTTGAAAAATTGAACAAAAACAAATCTAATGGTACAGGAAAAAATTTTAAGAAGTAGAAGTGACCAATAATGATCAATCACACCAGAAATAAAAACACCCAACAGCTTTTAGTCAGGCTGAGTAAGGAAAGAATGAGTAGTGGCCTTACACAAATCCCTATCAAAGAATAAGAAATTCAGGTCTGCTGGGTTCCTAATGAGTGGTGAATGTTAAGTACCCAGGATTTGAACAACATAAACTATTTCAGTATACAAGTTGATAAGAAACGATTCATTACACTTGAATAATAAACTAAACATGGTCACTGACCTCCTCGGGGGGACGGAGAATCATGCCCTCCAATGACCACGAGGATACCGGAATCTTCTAACTTCACTTTCCATTTTTCAATGATAGTCATAGACTTGTCCTGAAAGCACAAGGACTCAGCAGGTCAGGAAACTTCCCTCAGAACAAAGGTGACTTACACCAGGGCTAAATCATCAACAGGAAGTTCATAAATACCTTACTGGCATCATTAAAGACCGAGAGCTCCATGGAGCCTTCGAAGTCCTGTTGCAGCACAGACCTCAAGCACTCGTCCAACCAGGCCTCAGCGTTGTGGACTGGGAGGATGACAGACTGGAATCACAAGAGGTGGATTAACAAGAAGTGTGAAAGCCAACCCCCTTCCACTGCTCTAGTTTACCTCCCCGTTACCACTTGGCACTGTGCTCACTTCCAGAGGGCAAGGCCCAATCTACAGAATCTCCCAGAACAGGGCTTCCAGGGAAAGAATATGCCCCAACAAAGAAAAGGTGTCTATGCCTTCTCCCCAAACTCTTCACATTCTTCTGCTCCGTGAGAGTTATTATGTCTGAGATTTCTTCCCTGAACTATTAATCTTTTGGATGCTTTTGAAAAGGAAACAAAAATTTGAAAGGCAACAAAAATTTTCCCAATTCAAGACAAATGCCTATGTTTTCCCATCAATGATCAGAAACATCATCACTTTGGTTGAAACAAGCATCTGTATCTTCCAGCCCAATCATGAAAATCACTGATTGGTCCTTTTCTTGGCGGTGATAGGCATTTTCAGTAAACCATGATGTCAGAGAAACTGCAACAAAGAAACCCTTTCAAGTCCCCCCACACAAGCTTTAACAAAGCATGAGGGGGGGTGCTGAGAAACTGGGAGGTGACCTCGCTCCATCCCTCTCCTCCTTTGCTCTCTTAGCATAGGACAGCACGCAGCTCTGTCCTTTCTCATGGAGCCCAGATAAAGCAAACTTTTCCAAAGTATATGGAGTAAGCCCAGTGAAACCTGAGGGCCAATAAAACAACTGATTACAGGAATTGTCCTCATTTTGTACATTACCCCACTAAGCAACACAGAACACCCAAAGACAGAAATTACCGTCTGTCCTGACCCTGACCTGATACCTCATGAAGAGGAGCGGACAGATTCCTAAGCCAGAAACAGAAATGCAGATGGTCCAGGTGAGTGTACCCATGCATGTGTGCGTGCACACACAAACGCGCGTACAGGTATGTGCACTACACATCCATACAGAATGGAGAGAGGGTTCTAAAAATACTAAATCTGAATATGGTTATGAAAAACTCATCGATACAAACTTTGAAAACATAATTCAGTCAAGTTCTTTACTCTGAGGACCTGATTCAACAATGACATCCCTTCCTAAATTTACTTACCCACAAAAGTAACTCCCTCCATTACTTACATATTTACTTTGGAATTACTTTTGAAAGGGAAAGAATTTTTTACTGTTCTCAAAATCTACAATACAAAATACACGGGAATTTCTGTCAAAGGTGGGCCTTGACGAATCTCTGTCCACACTCCTCGGCTGGTGCTTCAACCTTGCTTTGGGTGGAGACGGTCACAGGCAAGACCATGAGAAGTGGTGTGGGACACAGAGGCCCCAAAGGGAGGGGAGGAGGATGGATGAGGGAAGGGGAGGATCGCTGAGGAGGGGAAGAGGGAGTCAGGAAGGGGAGGAGGATGAGGAGATGAGGGGAGGATCAGAGGATGGAAGAGAGAAGGATGAGGGGAGGAGGATGGAGGGAGGAATGGGGAGGAGTGGGGAGGAGTGGAGAGGGGAGGAGAGGGGAGGAGCGCTGAGGAGGAAGAGGGGGAGTCAGGAAGGGGAGGAGGAGGGGAAGGCAGAGGCGGCCCGCGGCCCCGGCACCTACCACGTGGGGCGCAGCGGGCTGCCCCCCGGCCTCCATGGCCGCGCTCTCCTGGGCGCCCGCCCCGCCCACGCCGGGCTAAGGCGCGTGCGCGGGCGGCTCTTCGGGAGGCGGGCCGAGGCGGGGCCGCCTCCGATTGGCGCAGAGAGACGTCGATCCGGCGGCGGCCCGCGGGCAGTGGAGAGGCGCGGCCTAGAAGGGCCGAGCGCCGGGAGAGCAGCTCCCGCGGTCGGCGCCTCGGTCCCGCGTGCCCTCTGTCGGCTCCTTGACCCCAGAAGTCCTCCCGCCTCTGGCGACTGCGTTGGTCAGCTTTGAACTCCTCGGTGAGGTCCGATGTTGTAGAAACACCTGGTTGTGGGCAAGGTGGGTTTGTGAGAACGGCGCCGCTCTGTGCCCAACCCGGTGCCCTTGCTGTTGTGTGGTTAAAGGAAGCCGGTGATTTCCTTTGAACTTATCTTTGACCTGCGCGGAGGACAAGGAGAAGCCTGGGGGCGGGAGACCAGGACACCTGAGACGTCCCCAGCGTCCGCAGTGTCCCCAATGTCCCCAGCTTCCCCAATGTCTCTAACGTCCCCAGCATCCTCAGCGTCCCCAGCGTCTGCAATGTCCCCAGCGTCTGCAATGTCCCCAATGTCAGCAACGTCCCAAACATCCCCAGCATCTTCAGTGTCCCTCACATCCCCAATGTCCCTCATGTCCCCAGCCTCCCCCGCATCCCCAACAAGGAAGGGTGCAGGCACAGGAGCCTAGGTGCACCCACTGGCATCCACTTTCATTTCTGCCTCTCTAAGCAGGAGGAAGGCGGCCGGGGCTTTGGGGCCACAGTGCTTACGGCTTAAAACACCCTCCCTCCAAGGAAAACTGCGGCCTGTGTGTGACTTCCTCCTGCGTGAAGACCCCTGATACCCCTAAGCCATCTCTTACCTTGCACCAGTGTGCCACCTGCATCCTGGCAGCTGTGTGACCCCAAGTAAGGTGTGCCCCTCTTGGTGGAATAGGGCTGTGGGGTGGCACCCAGTGACTCGTGTAAGCTGGGTAAACTAGTGCTAGCACACGTGCGAGCTCAACAAATGTGACCTGCTGTGATTAGCACTGTGGTGCTGGCACACACAGAGTGTCCCCACTTGGGGTTTGTCCCAACTGATCTAAACTGACGAGCAAGTTTACAGCCATCACTGCCAGGAGAAATGCTTTACTGCCCAAAACTAAGATGAAATGCAAATCATTCTACAGACTTAACAATTACAGCCAAGCCAAGCTTCTGTTTAAGATCTTTTAAGCATCATTTCAAATGTGGTTTTTCCTTAAATTGCATCAATATTTGTAAAGCCTATTGTACAAGTGCAAACTCTTAAGTTGGGTGAGTGCAAATGCAACGTTATTTACAGTGGGACAAAGGCCATCTGAGAATTTGTTTCCAAGGACCTAAAGTTCTCCAGGGTTTGGTGTATTAGTTTCACTTTAAAGGACTGGGTACAAAGTTGCCTTGTTGCTCCCAGAACATGCTGTCTGCTTTTCAGCTGGAGCCGCCCAGTAATCAGTGGGAGGAAGCGATAAGGCTCCCAGGTGCTGTTGGGCACCACAGCACATGATATCAGAACTGGGTTTGGCTGCTCCTGTCCTGCTTCCTGTACATCTGCTGCCAGAAACTTGCTCTTCACTGCCTTCCCCCTAGTATAATTTTGTTGGAATCTGCTTTTTCCAAACATTCAGAGTGCCAAGAGGCACTTCGGAAATGCAGGGTTGTAGCTGGCCAGGGCCTGAGATGATTCCCTTCATTGTGGAACAATTCTCAACAGAGACCAGGCCTTGGGGACTGACGTCCCCCCCCCCCACTCCCCGGAGAGGGACCCAGGGGGTCATGAGGTAGAATGAAAAGATGAATGGCCACAGGGCACCTGAAGGGGAAGTGATGTAAAACTCTGGCAGCTTTTGGCCCGCCCAATGAGACTTTATTTTTAATCGTTGTTTATGCAAACTGTTTGGTGAATCCTGGTTGTATTCAGAAGACTCAGTGCCCACTGCCAGGGTCTCCAAATTTTAAAACTCCCCGACAGCCCTCTCACCATGTTGGTGTAGGAGGCAAATATGTGGCATAGGTCTGGGCTCGGGGACACTGGGCCCAGCCTCAGAAAGAGTGCGTCAGTGAAGGGCGAGTTCAAGCTTCAGCAACAACAACCGGACGTTCCCTGATAGCCCACGCTGTAGGACCTCTCAGCAAGCATCCTTTCCAAGTTTCCTGATGGGACAAATCCCAGCAGAGCTCTAGCTCAACCTCTTCCAGCAGTGGATGCTGCTGGGAGGTCGGGGGTCACCCAACACCATGGAGAACAGCACGCTCGCACTGGAGCAGACTGGCTGCCCATGGTGGCCAGAGCACCCCAATAGTAAATCTGTTCACGAGGAAGCATCCAGCTATCTTAGTGTGGGACATGGGCTGGTGTCCTCTCACTCTCTTGTTTTTTTAAAGGCTAGTCGAGACTCACCGTGTTGACTTAAGAAACCAGAGCTGGACTTCCTACCAGCCACAGGAAGTAATGAGATTCCCATCACAGGAAGCATTCAATTAACAGCTGGGCAAACATTTGGTGTGAATTTGATGGACTCACTCAAGTATCATGTAGAATGTTTGTCTTGGCCTAGGTGCCTACCCCCTCAGTCCAGGAAGCAGAGCCTTTCTGGGCTTTTACAGGAGGGTCTTTGATCCCAGGAAGCGAGGGTCAGGGAAGGAAAGGGGCAAGGGCAGCGTGCTCTGTGGACAGCATCCCCAACATGGGCAGTTGGAGCTGGACCTCAGACCTTCCCAGAGCCCTGGAGAGTTGTCCACCTGAGCGCGAAGGAGAGAAGCCTTACCCTTGGGGCTGTCACCTGGCGTCACCCCTTGGCGATTTACTCCCCTGCACTTCTGGGTGGTGACTGCAGGGTCTCACAGGTGTCCCCGAGCCCTGGGGCACACAGCACACTGCAGGCCAGGTGGGCCTGCCCAAAGCTGGGTGCAGTGGCCCCGGCTGGACTCAGAGTTAGGACCAAGAAGATGGGAAGGGCTGAGCAGGAGGTGCGAGGGGCCGATGCATCATCAGAGAGGCGAAGGGAACTTGAAGCAGACCCTAGGCGTCACCGTCAGTGGCCACGGTGTCCAATGAGCACGTGTGCGTCCTCCTGAAGTGATTTAAGCCAACTGCCCCTCGAACCCAGGGTGACTTACAGGTGGACAGGTGCCTGCAGGAGCTGAGGCCACAGCGCAGGGGTTTGGTGCCTGAGCACCTGAGGCGTGACTCAGACAGTATCAGGTGAGAGGCCAGGAGCGGCCAGTTGGACATCCTTCTAAACATTAACAGGAAAGTGTCATTTGCGGGAGAAGGGGCCTGGCTAAGTTCAGGTCTGACAGAACTCAGAGGAGGACTGGAGAAGCCAGAGGTTTGGAGGCGACCTCAGCACTTTGCGTGAGGCCTCAGGGAGGGCAGCCAGTGCTCCGAGGTCAGTGTCAGAGCTGGGGGCCGCTGCGCCTGGCCAGGAGGTTAGCAAGGAGCCCCCCTCAGGCCGCCTAGGAAGCAGTGTGCACTGTGGGGCTGGGTCTAGCAGTGGGGCCCCACCCCAGTAGCTCCCCTTGTATGGGGCAGAGTGAGAGTTTGAGGAATGCAGGGAGGGAAACGCAAGCTGTCCCTTCCCGTGAGGAGCCGTCCATCCCATCAGCCATAGGCAGGCCTCCTGCCGCCCAGGACCGGCCCCACGCAGTGATACTGGCCACTCACAGGTCACCAGGGCCTGAAGGGCAGGCAGGACCCTGACCCACTGACGGGGGAATGGCATCCAGCAGCCACCGAGAACTCAGTGGCCTCTATCTGAATTGGGGACAGTCATCCCCTGGCCCCCAGGGCTGCATCCCTGAACCCTGAGATCTGAGGCTGGATCTCAGAGCTTCCTTACCTGGCTTCTGTTGGGGGACATGCCTGCTGGGATCACTCGCACTCCTCCCCACAAGCTGGGCATGCCGGGAATGCACAGCCCTGGCCGCTGGTTACAGGGCCACTTTCATGAGCAGCCTTGAGGCGTAGGACCAGGACGAAGAGCTGGCCTGCTTGCTGTCCGCCGTAAAGCTTGGAGGTCCTCTCCTTTCATGTACCCCTAGCAGCACAGCGTCTGTCTGGACACATTCCCATCGCCCCTGGGGAGCTGGCTCGGGGAGCCCATGCCCGCAGGCTGGCCCTCTGGCACTGCTTTTGCTGTGAGTAGCAAACTCCTTGATCTCCGACCCAGAAGCCTCATGTCTCTTGTCAGCGCGTGAGCATGTGGCAGGCCGTGTTGCTGCTTGAAGCAGAGCGAAAGCTTCGAGCCAGCAGTTCTGGACAGCATCCTGTGGACGTGCGCAGCTGGGGCCTGCCTCACAGCAGCCCGGCTGTGAGTACCACTGACCAGCACCTCTCTGCGGGGACTGGCTCTTGGGCCCATCTAGTATGAGGGGCACTAAGCTGCGAGAAGCAGCCAGGGAAATCAGTGTATAGAAGCCCAGCCTGTGAAGGGCCTTGTCCAAACACTGGCTCACTTCCGCCTTCATCTTTTAGGGCCTCCCCCACAGCTCGCTTCCTCAGAGACCCCACCACCCTCGCCCCAGTGCACCAGGTCCTCCCATCAGGTGCTCCCAGCACCGTCTCTCCCCTAAGCTGCCACCTCCGTGGGGGCAGGGATGGGCTTCTTGCCACTGCCAGCTTCCCAGGGCCAGCAGAGTCCAACAACAGTGTGAGCCGGCTGCTGATGCAGGGCCAGGAGGGGAGGCCAGGAAATGAGCAAGATGGTTCCCAGGACGGGCCTCAGGGTGCTGTGGGAGGTCCCAGCTGCTCTCCACACCCTCGAGGTGGACACAGATGCTGCCTCCAGGGCAGGCGCCACATCCTGGACCCACGGTCAGGTAGCAGGGCTCCTGAACTCACAGGTCCCGCTCCTTTCTTGCCAGCTCACCATGGTGCCTGATGCCCCGCAGGGCTTCTGCCTCGCCTCTGGGGAGGGAGCTCCATGGGGCTCTGCCAGCTGAAGCCTCCTGCCTGGAAAGGTGGCCTCACTGCATGGGTGCTCAGGAATGAGTGAAAGAAAGAAAGAGCGAATGAATGAATGAGTGCTGGGATA